TAATTAAATAAATTAATTTAAAGAGAGTGATTTAAAGAGATTGATCACTGGGAGTTCCCAGATGGGGGAGGTGCTGCCATCCTGCCTTCTCCAGATGGAACCCCAGTGACCATGAGCTCTTACAAGCATACATCTGACAATCCGTACCAGAACATTTTTTCTGAACTGCAACCGGGCCACCCCAGCTCCTAGGCAACCTCTGATTCCAGAAGTCACACCCACAACTCGCCCCCCAGCACCATCTTACAGCACACAGCAACAAAGAAGCTGTGGGGCTAGAGGGCCCCACAGCTCCCACAGAATGCTCCAGGTCCCAAACAGAGCCGATATCTCCAGGAGGTCCCAGATGGGATAGGTGCTGCCGTCCTGCCTTCTCCAGATGGAACCCCGGTGACCATGATCTTCTACAAGCATAGCTCTGGCAAGCGGGTACCAGGACATTTTTTCTTTCTCCCTGAAAATCAGGCTTAACTCTTTTACAAACCACAGCACCCAAAAGGAGAGAGAGAACAAAGGGGAATGCCCTGCCACAGAGGGAGGGTGGGATGGGGGGGATGGGGGATGGGGGGTGGGAGAGATACTGGGATCGGTGGTGTTGGGAAATGGGCTGTAGTGGAGGGATGGGTATTTGAAAAAAAAAATTTAAAAAAACATATTGATTCTGAGGAAAAGCAAAGGATTTTGATAGCGTTTACTGCTAAGATCAGTCAGAGCTTCTAAGTGATTAAACTCCTATTGTTACACAATTTTCTACAACTCTCAACTACAGAGTGATGGAAAACAGGAGCACTGTAGCACTGTCCTCCTGCTGTTCATCGATTTTCTCGAGTGGGTACCAGTACCATCTCCATTGTGAGACTTGTTGTTACTGTTTTTGGCATATTGAATACAACGTGGGGAGCTTGCCAGGCTCTGCCATGAGGGCAGCATACTCTTGGTAGCTCGTCAGGCTCTCTGAGAGCACAAGAATCGAACCCATGTCAACTGTGTGCAAGGCAAATACCCTACCCGCTATGCTATCATTCCGGCCCGAAAATAGTAGGACCTTAATTAAAAACATAATTCTTGGGGACCCATGAGGTACCAGGGATCAAATCTCAGCCTCCTATATGCAAATTATATGCTAAGTTTGGTGAGTTATCTCTGCAGCCTGGCAGTGGAGGTCTTCATGTGAGAGCGGCCATGAATTAAGTAATATGTTTGGTAATGTGCCCGAGCAACTGACGTTATATAAAGAAATTCATATAACACTTGGAGGAAGATATTATTCATCCCATTTTTACATAGAAGAAATCTAAGACCCAAGTTTGATTCCTCCACTCCTGTCGGAGAGCCCAGCAAGCTACCAAGAGTATCTCGCCCAGACGGTAAAGGCTGGTAAGCTACCCGTGACGTATTCGATATGCCAAACACAGTAACAATTGTCACAATGGAGACATTACTGGGCCCTCTCGAGAAAATCGATGAACAACGGGAGAACAGTGACAGTCGTCATTCAATTTATACCAAATTTTATCTTCTGGTAATTAAAGAAAGAACAGAATGGAAGGGAAAGTAGCCTTGTAGCACTGTCCTCCCATTGATCATCCATTTACTTGAGGGGGCTCTATAGCGTTTCCATTGTGAGACTTGCTGTTACAGTGTTTGGCATATCAAATACATCACAAGTAGCTTGCCAGGCTTTGCCGAGCGGGCGAGATAATCTCAGTAGCTTGCCGGGCTCTCCGAGAGGATTGGAGGAATCAAACTCAGGTTGCCTGGGTCGACCACGTGCAAGGCAAACGCCCTACCCTCTGTGCTATCGCTCCAGCTCCTGGAAGAAAAAGCAAAAAAAAAAAAGAAGAAAGAAAGTAAGAAAGAAAGAGAGAGAGAGAGAGAAAGAAAGAAAGAAAGAAAGAAAGAAAGAAAGAAAGAAAGAAAGAAAGAAAAGCGCCAGATAAGTACCACCAAGTCAGCCTGAAGGTCCTCAATTATCAGTGTGGTCACTCTGGTGGCCTCAGAACTACTGAACCCCAACAATACCATATCACTTTGGACCAAACATTGAGTTATCTTGTCCAGTTCACTGCTTATTGCCTGAAGTGTCCCTGGATCCTGTGAACACTGATCGTCTCCTCTATATGGATCAATTTTATGTCTATCATTTAAAAATATCATTCTGTGCTATAATACAGTGAGAATAAAGTTTCTTGTTTAAAAGATCATAAGCTCCAAAGCCAAATATTGATATTTTCAGTGCCTATTTCTTTTCTTTTTCGATCATACCCGGCCATACATAGAGGTTACTTCTGGCTCATGCACTCAGGAATCACTCCTGGTGATTCTCGGGACCATATGGCATGCCGAGAATCGAACCCCAGTTGGTCTCATACAAGGCAAACACCCTATCTACTGTACTATCGCTCTAGCCCCAGTCCCCATTCTTTTTTCCGCATTCTTTCATCAAATAAACAAAGATTATTCAAAGAATGTATCTGCTTCACTATTTTCTCACACTCCTTTCTTTACTGCAATTGTTGTTAACAAGGCCATTAATAATGCTGTGTTATTTTAAATTATTCCTTTAGCATCCATTTTATGTTCATATCTTCCAATGTGAATAATCAAATAAAACATTTTTTTTTACTCTGGGGCAGCATGTCAGGCACAGTGAACTAGAACACCCCCCTTCTTGGCTAAAGTGCCCTCATGAGCACTTAGTCCAGAGGGGACTGCTGCACTGTTTTAGAAGTGCCTTGGAAGTAAAACTCTAGCCCAGGACCTGCCCCAACATGGGCCCCTCCCACACAGGTACAGAAGTGTCGGCGGGGGCGGTGGAAGAGGGGAAAGGGGACATGGAGTCTAGTAATTCATATTTCATCCTCTATTTTCTAATTCTTCCAAGTACGGCCTGGCTATCCCAAACACATTAGGCCAAGAGTGAACTAGCCTACTCCAATCAAAATACTCCCCAACTCACCAAAATAGTGATGAACACAAGAATCTGAATGAGCCTAACATAAAGGAACATATCCCCTGAAGCTCCACCAGAGGATCCAAATAAGTCACACAGGAGCACCAAAGAGGAAGTTAGTATCCTTGCAGGGGGAAAGGGAGACGACAATTGACAGAACTCTTCCAGAGTACTCCCTTGCAGAGAGAGGGGGAAACTGATAGCTAACTGGAAGGGATCTACCTCCATACTACCACAGCAACATGAAGAAACAGCACAGATCCCCACCACAAGATGGATGAAGAGAAGAGCCCAGAAGCCTCAACAGTGAATACCCACATACATAATCTCTCTGATGAAAAAATTGTTTTTGCTTTTTTTTCCTACTGCTGCCTTTATAATAAATAAAGAATGATTTATTGTGAAGCTGGAGAGATAAGTTACTTATCAGGGATAAGTTACTTCTTTTGCATGTGGTCAACCTGGGTTTAATCCCCAGAATCATATATTGTTCCCCAAGCACTGTCAGAAGTGATCCTTGAGCAGAGAGCCAGATGTAAGCCCTGAGAACTGCAGGGTATGGCCCATAACCATCCCTCCCCTAAAGGGAAAAAAGCTAGAATTATTTATTAAAATTCTCTTGTAACTGTTTTATATAACTTATATGAATATATATATAATTCAATGCAAGTATACCTTAGTTGTGATTTTTATTATTTGTTATTAGTATGGGGCAGGGTCTATAGACTTTCATCAAAAGAAATTCCTTTTTATGTCACAAATTTACCACACAGGCATCTTTGATATTCAAATTGACTTTGCCAGGTCAGCATGGAGGAACTAAAATTACCTCTCTGAAAAACTTATTTGGGTTAGAATTGATCAGAAGAGATGTTCTTGACACATGGAGGGGCAGAAATAAAAATGCAGTCATAACTGCTGAGATCAGGTAATAGGAGGCTGAAGAACAGATTTGACATTTTTGGTTTTTTCTACCAGTCAACTCTTCTTCCTGAATGTTGTCCTGTTTTATCTGTGCACTCATAAATGTATGAAAGTGCACATTTTCAGAGAGGCGGGTTAATTAATATCTCCAATGCACAAAGATAATGACACTGGCAAATTTGTTTCCTTCATTTTCCTTTTGGCAATGACTGTTAGTGCTAAATAAGGGTTATTTAAAAATATTTTTAGTTTTCTTTATCTGAAAACAAGGATTTCAGTAATTCTGTGCAATATTGGAATGAAAAATCCAGATAGATATGATGGTGGTGGTGGTGATGGTGGTGGTGGTGGTGGTAGTGGTGGTGGTGGTGGTGGTGGTGGTAGTGGTGTGTGTGTGTGTGTGTGTGTGTGTGTGTGTGTGTGTGTGTTCACACGGATGCCAATGCCAGGCAAGATGGAGACCACAAGTAAACTGATCGTGGGCTCAGGAAGCCATATGGTACTGCATGTGGAACTGTGGGTCTCACGTAGGCATTTCTCTACCACTTGAGCCACATCCCAATCTAGGAGAACTTTTTAATCAAAACACAAAAATCAACATACACTTTTTCTGTAAGGTTTATTAAGCTGAAATAAGCAAAAGGTCTGTTTGACATCTGTTAACTGATTTTTCTGTGATCACCTTCCACATTAATACATTGTAATAAGCATGACCTTGTGTTGTACATAGTTGTATATGAGAAAATTTTGGTGATATAGTAACATCAATTTATATTTCAATTTACCAAAACTAATCCCATTTTTTTCCTCAAATGCTTTGTTTTTTTGTTATTATTTTAAATGGATTTATCATCATTTTACAATATTATAGAGTTTAAGGGACTTAGCTTCCAATTTTCTCTATATCACCACTTCTGTCATCATATATATCACATTTTATGGTAAGTAGATAAAGTTTTCAAACTTTCATATTAATTTATAATTTCCAACACACCCTTGGGTGTTTGAATTTAATAAAAGTCTTCCTTTAGTACTCGAAAAATCATTTTATGAGTCCAAGTTCACAGAATTAATTAAACAAGTCCTAAATGTCCTTCACTTTTTTGTTGTTGTTACTGTTTTTTTAAAACCCTGTGCTAGGTCTATTTGAACTTCTTCTCCTGTTAACGATACAAATAGTGGTACTGAAAATAATACTAACAGCTGCCACAGTTCCAACCACTGCCAACACCACAGTAGAAATACTAATTCCGGAACTAGGATAATTTTCCTCTTGGTCAACATCTGCTTGCGGAATAAACAATGCTACTTGTGCGGTGTTGGATATTTCAGATTTTTTACCACTCTCATCCACACTTTGAATGGCAAAGAAAATGTGGGTTGCATCTTCTCTTACATTTTCTTCTTCAAATGTAAATGTTTCCTTGGAGTTGGCGTCCTTTGGCATCAGATTCTTAGTACTTACTTCCAGGGCACTATCAAAATTGTCTTTTAGATCAAGGATATTTCCACTTTTTCTTATGACATACTGTTGAACTAAAAAAAATTACATGTAAGTTAGAAACAGAGCATATAATACTAGCACTGTAGCACTGTCCTCCCGTTGTCCATTGATTTGCTTGAGTGGGCCCAGTAACGTTTCCATTGTGAAACTTGTTGTTACTGTGTTTGGCTTATGGAATACATTAAGGTTAGCTTGCCAGGCTTTGCCATGCAGGCGAGAAACTCTTGGTAGCTTGCTGTGCTTTCCAAGAAGGGTGGGGAAGGATCGAACCCAGCTCGACTGGCCGCATGCAAGGCAAATGCCTTACGATTGTGCTATCACTTCAGCCCTATACTATAATGCTTAGTATAATACTAAATTCCCTTTTATTCCCTCACGTGAAAAATGATCACTTAAGCAGTTTATTATTCAAAGACCAGGTTTTATTTTATAAAAGATGAATTTTGATTTTTAATATTTGCCAGGTACTACTTCTCTGTATGAAAATTGGTAGCAGTAAAAGTGTGCCCTTTTTTATTGATTCAAACATGATTTTATATAGCAAATACTGTAAAGTGCTACCAATTAAAGACAGTTTTTTAATTTCACCCACTTTTATTCTTGCTTTTGAAATGAGCATCTTTCACTCTACATAAAACTTGATCCTTACCTTTTCCAACATCAAAATCATCTCCTGGTGCTGTCCATGTTAAAGTGATCATATTCCCCTCACGTGTGGCCTCAAGATCTGTGATTTGACTTGGTGGGAAATAGTCAGCAGAGGAGGTATTGAAATTAGGTGGAACACCTTTAAGTTCAAATGCACCTCCAACTGCCATTCTGCTGAAATTCTCCACATTTGTTTGAATATCCTTATCAGTTTCAGGTCTTGGTGGATTCCCTTGAATTTCTCCTAGAATAAAAACATCCTGGTATTTAATAGACAAAATATACAAGTATTTTTCAAAGCTCAATGGACTGAATTCCCTATTAATACCACTTTACTTTCATAACAACTATACCCGTGTAAAATTGTATTGGGTTTGTTGACAAAGTCACAAATGTCCATGGGTGGAAGGACCTTTCTTTGGTATCCTGTCCTGGATCTTGTAAGTGCAACAATGAATTAATTACTTTAAAATGAATGTTGCATGAATTCCCATTCAGTATATGCCATTAAATTTTTTGCCCAAGTTTACTCTCTCTTATTTTTTCATTTCAGAAGGTTTTTCCTTGGAACCACATGTGCCAGGCTCTTTTCTTCCTCCCTGTTGCAAGTGCTAAGAAATAATACTTGGAGTTTTATTCTAATTGTCCTCAGATATCCCCAAAAGTCGAAATAAAAGAAACAAGAAATAGGAAAGCTAATAGAGAATGTATTCTTAATCTTTATCATAACCTTACTCAGCATTGTTTTGTCTTGTAACTTAAAACACTCAAACCATGTTTACATTTCTGTATATTTATAGTATATGTGTATAACTGAAGGATAAATTTTTCATTGGTTTATACTTAAACACATAATATATTCATCTGTTTTCTTTATCTTGAGCTGAAAATTATTCATAATGTTATAATATCCTTCAAATGAATGAAATAATATATTAGATTTATTCATTGATTTTAAGATATCACACACTCTATCATAGATTATGTCAAATTGGAGGCAAATCCCTTTATCACTATGAGCTTCATTATAATAGATGAAAAGAACTACACTTAGAGTTATAACATGTATGGATATTTATTTATTCCATAAATTTTATTTCATTTTTATAAAGTTGTTCACAATTATTGATTACACTTATTATTCCAACACCTCTCCCACACCATTATATCTTCCTACCACCATTATTTTGAATTATTCCAAACACCACTAAAGCCTGCCTCAATAAGCAGGTCCTACATAGTTTATTTTTTATTGCTTTATGAATGATCTTCTAAAAGCTGTCAAAATGTATGAAGCTTTAACAATATCAACTCATAATTTTTAAGCCAACACAACATTTAAGACATTATGAAGTACCCACCGTTAACCACCCAGCCTGGTACAAATGCTGCTGTATTTTGAGGATGTCTTAAACTTCTCATGGCAGTTGCTCCTCCTTTAACCTTTACTTTTAAGTTATATCGGCCATCTTTTTTAAAATCTATAAAATAACTGGAGTAGACCCCATCATTCTTTATAGAATCAGCACCTTGTATTAGAAAAGAAAGAGTGAACTACTTTTGTAAAGAAAATTATGCATTTTGAAGTTAAGCATTTGTTTATATTACAACCCCTTGACTGGGCACTGTGTGAGATACACACTCAAACACAAACGCACACACACTCACTCACACACACATATATAGGTTCATTCACAAAAATGTGTAAATTACCTGCACCATTATCTAAAAGTTTTAAAGTTGTAGTTCCCTGGTTTGATTCAATGATGGCTGTCACAGAGGCTCCAAGAATGGGTGCAAATCCTTGTAGAACTTCTGCATAGACAACCACAGGTTTGGGGAATTCATATGTGCTTTGATTCATTTTAGCATTCACTGTGATTGGAGGCATAGAAGAATTTGCTGCCCGAGAATTTACTGTAATAGTTAGTATTTCATTGTTTACTTTGGCTTGAAGACTGTAAGTCCAAATGCCAGCCTAAAAATTTAATGGAAATATGATTAGTATCCAAGATTAAACTCTTTTATATATTCCTATTTTCTAATTCCAAAATATACCTTACAAATGTGTTGTGTTATAAACAGGGCATTGGGAATCTTAAAGGTTGGAGGGTAAAATAGGATAAGAGATGAAACAATTTAGACAAGGTATCTGTTGTAATGCATATTCAACTATATGGAACCTTAGCAAGAATACATTTTTGAAAATTTACCAAGTGTTTGACCTCAATCTTCACAGTCTATGATACGACAGTGTCTATGAAATAAATCTAGGGGCTAGAGAGATATGACATGGATTAAGGTATTTTCCTTGCATTTAGCCAACCAGAATATAATTCCTGACTCCACATGGGCTGCTGATGACAGAGCCAGGAGAAGCTGTGACTCTCACCAAATGGTCCAATACTTCCCACTTCTCAAAAAAAAATACACATTAAATAACTACCTTTTGCATTCTTTCACTATAATCTCAGTTATTCTAAGTAGTCTTAAAATATTATTGAACTTCTGCATATACAACCACAGGTTTGGAGAATTCATATTTGCTTTGATTCATTTTAGTATTCACCGTGATTGGAAGCACAGAAGAATTTGCTGCCCGAGAATTTACTGTAATAGTTAGTATTTCATTGTTTGCCTTGGCTTGAAGATTGTAAGTCCAAATGCCAGCCTAAAAATTCAATGGAAATATGACTAGTATCCAAGATCAAGCTCTTTTATGTATTCCTATTTTCTAACTCCCAAATACACCTTACAAGTGTGTTGCATAATAAACAGGACATTGAGAGTCTTAAAGGTTGGAGGGTAAAATAGGATAAGAGATGAAAGAATTTGTATAAGGTACCTATTGTAATGAATATTCAACTGTATGGAACCTTAGGAAGAATAACCTTTTGAAAATTTACCAAGTGTTTGACCTCAATCTCCACAGTTTATGATATGACAGTGTCTATGAAATAAGTGTAGGGGCTGGAGAAATATGACAGGGATTAAGGTATTTTCCTTGCATTCAGCCAACCAGCATGCAATTTCTGACTCCACATGAACTGCTGATCACCGAGGCCGGAGCAGCTGTGAATCTCAACAAATTGATCAAATGCTTCCCACTTCTCAAAAAAAACACACATTGAATAATTATGTTGTGCATTCTTTCACTATCACGATCACGACCATCCTGTTGTTCATCGATTGCCTCGAGCAGACCCCAGTAATGTCTCCTTGGTCTTAGCCCTGAGATTGTTTTAAAAAGTGACATATTCAAGGCTCTTTCAGGGTTAGGAGAATGAGATCCATCATTGTTACTGGTATTTCGAATATTGGGTAAGCCACAGGGAGTTTGCCAGACTCTGCCGTGTAGGCAGATTACATTCGGTAGACTGCCAGTTTGTCCGAAGTAGGAAGGAGATAATAAGGTGTCACGAGGTCCCGAGTGCGGCTGCACGTGCTTCCAGGAGCTGGGTTTTATAGTCTCTGAATTTGGAGGATCTGGGTGGTCTCTGAATTTATAGTCTCTGAATTTGGAAGATCTGGGTAGGGGATGCTCAGCCCCGATCCGAGCAGGCATGGAGGTCTCAGCCCCGGGACCCGCATGCCTTTGATCCTCTGCCGGTACCTTCATGCGTGTGGAGAGTGGTCTCAGTATGGTGGTGGCTGGTTCTGGAGGTCTTCAGCTGTCAGAGCTCTGGTCAGGGCTGGGAGGGAAACTCAACCCGCTCCCCTCCAAGGGGCCCCGGCGAGGACAGCCAGGCACGGGGGCAGGAGACTCTTTCTATAATTCACTATAATCTCAGCTATTCTAAGTTGTCTTAAAATATTATTATTTTTCTTACTTTTAACGCACTAGTTCTTTCTTCCTTTTCTGCCACAATTTCAGGACCATGGTTGTATAGCAGATACTTTCTATTTCATTTTAAGTTATTTGAATATGCTATAAGTATTGACACCTGATTTTTCAGCTTTGTAACAAATTTTTAAGAAAATATAAAGACTGATTGATTACCTTTGCAATTCCTGGAATACTGAGGTAGGCCATACTGGAAGTTCCATCTTCTTTGAAATTTCCCATGTTTGTTCTGTCAGGATCCAAGAGCGAAATTGAAGGACGCTGTTGGGTCCATGTCACAAGAAAGAATGTGTCCTTTCCCACAGTGCTATCAATGATTATAGTGTCATTTATCCAGTCACCTTTGTTGAGCTTTTTCCCCGTACTTTCAAGCTATTTAAACAAAATTTTGAGTTAGCAACTAGAGAAGAGATTACTTTTATTCATTTTCATTTACATATGGCATACAACATTAAGCTTTTGATTTCTCTCACAGTTTATTATTATATGACAGTTGTTAGTCCGAAAGTGCAGAAATATAGAATCTGAGGAGGGGACAGGGTATGATCAAATGCACTTGCACATGGCCATTTACTCTACGATTAAGGGTTCACCATGCTTTTCTTTTCTCAGGTGTCATGGCAAATACACACTTCAAGTATGAATGAGCTGGTATGTGGTTATGCATGTGTGTGCCTGTGTATTCTTTCACTGGTTTACTTACTTTTTTTTAACCACTTAATACTTCCTGTTTGTGGCAGAGTATTTAAATAGAAACAAAAGAAGGCAAGGAGTGGGGCTGCTCAAGTGGGCCCACCAACATTACCAAATCATGAGACTAGCATGTATGAATATTTTATTGATTTGAAATCTTGTAATAAAGTTTCTCACATGGTAGATTGAGTAACTCCGGGCAGTATACATATCCATTAAATCTGGAATTTCAAGAATACCAGATATGAAAGCATTTTCTCTGAGGGGCTCTTTATATGGAGAATTTTCAAGTCTGTGGATAGCTTAGTCAAGGAGAGCCAGTGATGCCCATTACCTAAGAACACGCACTCTGCTCAAGTGTTATTTTAATGATGGGAAGTCGCACTTCTCTGCAATTCAGTCCTACATGACAAATACTTTCACCTAAGAGGTAATATGAAGGATGTGTTCTAATAACATCATTGCTGTCAGAAATCCTTGTCCTGTGGATATAGCATTACTATCCCATTAAATAGATGCATAATTGACATGTTTATAGACTCCCCATCAGAAAATTGTAAAAAAAGTTAGAAGGATTTGGCTGTATACTATGCAAAAATAACTGAGTGAAACGTGGGTTTCACTTTCGAGTTCCTACAAACTCAGATTATTGCAACATACTTCTACATAGCAACAATCTTCTTCCAAGAGCTACCCAACATTTACATGAATCCATATTTTCTTTCCAAAACGTTCTCATTTCACTTTGCATGCTGAAAGTAGACTATAGACCGAACATGAAGGCCACTCAATGCCGCTTTTACAAACCACAGCACCCAAAAGAAGAGAGACAACAAAAGGGAATACCCTGCCACAGGGGTGGGGTGGGATGGGGGCAGGGGGGTGGGAGGGATGCTGGGAGCATTGGAGATGGGGAATGGGTGCTGGTGGAGGAATGGATACTCAATTATTGTATAACTGAAACCCAAGCAGAAAAATTTGTAAGTCTACAACTGTACCTCATGGTGTTTCACTAATAAAAATTTTTTAAAATTATAAAAGGCTAGCTTGGGAGAAATAAAATTTGGAGCTTGATCAGAAAAAAAAAGAAGTAAGCCCTGAGCACTGCCTGGTCTGGCTTCCCCACCACCAAGTCAGTTCTCTATTGTCAATTTTTACCTGTTTACTTATTGATACCAAGGGATATAATCTACAACTGAACTCTGGCAAAAATGCAAAAATACTATAAACAAATATTGAAAATAAAACTGCCAAAATTGTATTTTGAATATTGAATTTAAAAAACCCTATCATTAGAAAATAAGCAGAAAGGCATTGTAATCAGAGTTACAAAATATTTAAAATATAATGAGAATATTTTTACTACCAACTATCGTTCCAAATAAGAATCTATAGTTATAGCTATCAGCTGCCAATTATTAACGAGTGTAACAGGTAAAGGTAAAGATAAAGGCCCTCCCGTTGATCATCGATTTGCTCGAGCGGGCCCAGTAACGTCTCCATTGGAGACTTTGTTGTTACTGTGTCTGGCATATCGAATACTCTCGGTAGCTTGCCGGGCTCTCCGAGAGGGGCGGAGGAATCGAACTCGGGTCGGCCATAGTTGGCCGCTTGTAAGGCGAACGCCCTACCCGCTGTGCTATCGCTCCAGCCCATACCACCCTGAACGCGCCCGATCTCGTCTGATCTCGGAAGCTAAGCAGGGTCGGGCCTGGTTAGTACTTGGATGAGTGTAACAGAAACCCCATAAATTGTCAAGCTCTATATTGTTTTTTTTTTCAGTGAGGGCTATCATCATTTTCTTAGTCAACCATATTGAAGTCCTTAGAAAAGAACTTTATCCTAATTCAGTTTATTCTCCACACCTTTCAAAGCTAGATCTTAGAAGCAATTTTAATCGGTTTTTGTAGTATCTAGCAGATCTCCAAATCTTGTGCACCTTTAGCTTATTCCTATATCTTATGCCTTCTGTGTTTTTCTTGGTGTGAAAGAAGAGGAAAATGAGTCATTTAGGTGATCACATCTGTTTTAATGTATGTAATGACCTTAATGTAGAGTTAGACATCAGGACTCTTGGCATAAAGTGATATGATGTTGATGATCTAAATGGATATAAATAAATAGAGAAATATCTAAAATATTTTGAAGGAAACAGAGTATGAACATTTTGTTTGAGACATGGATAATGAAAAATCTGGGTTTATGGAGTTTTTAATTTGAGTAAGAGAAAATGCTGTTATTAAATGTCACTATTAAAACATAGGTCCAAAAGTTGAGTAAAGTGGAGAGGAGAATGAAGTGAAAAGCCAGGGGAAAATATCACTGAAAGAAAGGTGGAAACATAAGCACATATCTCTATATATCTATTTATAGTGACGTATCTATACATAATTATTCTTTTGCTTCTGTGATACTTTCTTCCATTTTCATACCCTGTTCCTCTTATTTATTCATTTAATTCATTACATTTCATAGTAGTGAAGTATGGGACAATTTTAGAAGTATGGCATTTTTCACACACTGATAGAAAACAGGGTAATATTTTTGGAAAATATCCATTTGTTGTTGGAAAATTTAACATGCTTTTATTCCTTTACCAAACCCTGTGGGAAAGGAGAAAGAAACTATAGACCTTCCATTTCATCACTTAATTTATGTACTTAGGGGACATGTGTACAGAATATATACATAATTTTAGGCTGAAGATTTAAATAAAAATTTACTCTGTCAGAAAATATCACTCAGAACAAAATACAGTTATTTCTCTTGATTAATACTATGACAAAACAAAGTATCAAGGAATGAGAACTCTGACCTGAAGAGATTTTTCAGCAAGAGGAGCATTTTCTGATGTAAGAGCTGAGAAAGCTTCAACAAGGCCATTGTTCTCAGGATCATCAGTAACAAAAATATACTTTCCTCCTGTAATAAAATAAAAATGAGAGTGATTCCTAGAAGATGTGTAACTATGAGTGACATCTTAGTGATTAATAATGTAGCAGAGCAAACACACTATAGGTTTGTCTCGATATGTGTTATTAGACCCCAGTAAGTTAGAGAAAAGATTGATCTGAGGCTTAACTCAATATTTTTTTAAATCTAGGAAGTATAAGTTACTTTTTGTTTTTCACTTACAGAAATTGTAGCTCGTTTAAATACACCAAATAACCATAAAATACAAGAGAATGCTCTAATTCAATGCATTAAAGCTCATAAATTCCACACAACCCTTTGTGGAAGTTATTTAAGATACAGTTCTGAAAATGTTGGCTTTCTGATTTTTTAGCCTGTGCAGATAAGTATCAGAAAACTAGAAAGATTAAAGACATGCTAAATTAAGTAAAATATACTGGTGATGAGGAAAGAAAAATGGTAAGAATGAAGACTTTGAAAAATCCTATTAAATTATTGGAGCCAGAGTGATAATAAAATAGGTAGGGAGCTTGCCTTGCACATAGGTTCGATCCGTGATATCCCTTTTGGGTTCAGTCCCTGACATCCCATATCGTCCTTGAGCACTGCCAGGAGTGATCATTGAGTGTACAACCAGGAGTAACCCCTGAGCATTACTGGGTGTGTCCCTCAATTTTCCCCAATCCTCCCAAATCCTACTAATTGTTAAGGAGTGGGGTGAGGCGGAATGCTTGGGGGAAAATAAATTAGTGCCCATCAAATCACCTTGGAATGATGGCAGTATGTACCACTATTAAAATGACATATATATTTGATAGATTAGAAATCAACCCATGCAATAATTGACATTCACGATCAGTATTTTCTACTGTTTGAGGAACTGAAAACATGTCATTTCATCACAAAGCTAACAATTTTTATAAAATTATACTAGAACTGTTACTTAGATCTATTCACCCAGTTCTACTAATCCCATTCCCCTACCCTACCCTGTATCACATGCCTTGATCTGATGATTTCTCATAATGCTTCATTATCATTCCATATATTTTTCCTTATGTCCTGATTTATCTTCTTTTACATCATTTTCATCCAAAAAAGGCAAGACCTAGTTTATGACTCAACTAAGAAGTCACCTTATCTTTGATGTCTTCTTTCCTACCTCTAGAGCCTGGGAGAATGGTCTTCCTCAGACTACATAGTGTTTAATTCCTAAACAATCTTATGAAACTATTGAAAGGTTAGGTGATTATGCTAACTGTGATCTGATAAGTAGTTTTATTTGTCTCTCCAGTAGCTGTTGTGAGCACCTTGAGAACAGAGAAAGGTTCTGTTTTATCTCTGATCCTCAGCTCTGTCTATACCTAAACAGAATAGCTTTAAAGAAACTATTGAGTTTTATGCTTCTACAGTTCTATTCAGGGACTGAAATATATAGGTCATATATTACCTGTTTTAATTTGCATTTCTCTGACAGCTCTGTCAGCATTTGGTCCCAAAGGAATAAAATGAAGGACGGCTCCACTTTGTACCATTTCATCAACACAGTCTATTGGATCGTTATTCTCTCCATCAGTCAGCAGTACTATTTCAGCTCCATTTACTTGGGGATAAACTGATTTAATTTCCTGTAAACATAACCAGAAGATATTAACGTACTGTTTCTAGATCAAGTAGCTCTTTGGGGATTCAGGGAAAAATGCACAGAAAAAAGTAATGTATGCTAAAAGGAAAAGATATCTAGGTGTCTGTAAGAAAGTATAAAGAAAATGTATCTCAGTACAGTAATCTTATTTCATTTTCTCTGACAACTATAATTGACATTGGCATTTTGCTTCAGCAATGCGAAAAATTTAGTAAAAATTAATAAAAAGCATTACAAATATTAGTGGTTTTCATGACTCTATTGTCGTATTTGCAGATTTACAAAGTAGATAATCTAGACTATCAAAATTCCTAATAAATTGCTTAGGATAAAAATTGACCAAATTCATTCAAAATTTTAGGTAAATAATAAATATGATGAAACACTAAAATTTGTGAAATAGTTGCTGATGTATATTAATATGAAACTGAAAATCAGAACTTACTTTTATACATTTGTAGCTTAATATCATATCCTCACTTGCCTCATTATTTTCTGAACATGAGCTCAAGTTCAGAAACAAAGACAATGTACATGTGGTAGATTTCTTTACATTTTCTTTCTTTCTTTCTTTCTTTCTTTCTTTCTTTCTTTCTTTCTTTCTTTCTCTTTCCTTTTTTCTTTCTCTTTTCCCTTTCTTTGATTTGTTCTCTCTTTCTCCCTTCCTTCCTTCCCTCTCTCCCTCCCTCCCTCCCTCCTTCCCTCCCTCCCATCTTTCTCTTTCTTTCTCTTTCTTTCTTTCTTTCTTTCTTTCTTTCTTTCTTTCTTTCTTTCTTTCTTCCTTCCTTCCTTCCTTCCTTCCTTCTTTCTTTCTTTCTTTCTTTCCTTTCTCTTTCTTTCTTTTCTTACTTTCTGTTTTTCTCTTTCATTTGTTCTCTTTCTCCCCTCCCTCCCTCCCTTCCTCCCTTTCTTCCTCCCATCTTTCTTTCTGTCTTTCTTTCTTTCTTTCTTTCTTTCTTTCTTTCTTTCTTTCTTTCCTCTCTCTCTTTCTTTCTTTCTTTCTTTCTTTTTCTTACTTTCTCTTTTTCTCTTTCTTTCATTTGTTCTTTCTTTCTCCCTTCCTTACTTCCCTCCCTACTTCGCTTCTTTCTTTCTTTCTTTCTTTCTTTCTTCCTTCCTTCCTTTCTTTCTTTCTTTCTTTCTTTCTTTCTTTCTTTCTTTCTTTCTTTCTTTCTTTCTTTCTTTCTTTCTGTGTGTTTGGGTCACTGTCAAAGAGGCCTACAGCTTATCCTGGCTCTGCACTCAGGGATTCTTCCTGGAAGTGCTCAGGGGACCAGATGGGTGCTGGGGATTGAACCCTGCTCAACCATAACAAGATACACTTCAGGCCCACAATACTATCACTCCAATCTCTATTTTTTCTTTAACTGATTTGTTTTTTCACTGATTTTTTAGTCTATTTTCACTGCTGTGTTGGCAGTGGGGTTTTTTCTTTCATGAAAAGAACTGAATTAAAATTTAAAATTGTATTGAGAACTCAGTGAGAGACATATAGAGAAGTGAATAGCGTAGATAACTAATTTATTCCTTAGTTCAGTCTTATGAAGATATTTTTTACTGAAAACATTTCCAGGTAATTCATACTTCATGAAATTTCATCCAAGAATATCCCCAACCTATTTTAAGATCACTACCCTGTGATCATACTTTCTACAATTTATTTAAATTGGTGAGTTGTAATGTTAAAGCATAAGTATATGTGTCTGATACTTACAGTCATTGAGCATCATTCTGTTGTTCTTATACTATAAAACTTATGTTTTTAAGCTTTGAGATATCTAAACATTGATCTGCAAAATATATTTCATTTATTTGTAAAAGTTCACAGATCCCACTACTATCTATCATTTCTTGGAATAATATAGTCTTTTTACACCTCTTTCCCAAAGAATATTGAATGTGCTCTCTTCCTGAACCACTGATTGTCATCCTTCGAATCTTAGCTAGAAAGTTCCCTTCAGTGCCTTCAGTGAAGTGAAGTACGCTTCAGTGAAGCATGCTGGACCTCCCCTTTCCCTATCACACTAACCTTTTTGGTTCATTCACAAAACACTGTGAACAAAACACATTTATTATTTTATGTATGTTTTATAGCAAATGAAATAAACTAGTATTGTAAACCAGCATTCTTAAATTACCTATCCATGGACCAGAATTGATTGACAGGTAGAGAAAGCTTGAAAACCACTGGTTTTCTCACTTGATTAGGATTGCTGGCCTCATGGACCAGGATGAAGGACAGGATCAGTTCACAGTGTAAAAAGGATGGAAATGATGCTGTAAACTAATCAATGTAATAATGGAATTTTTCTGAAACAAAACTTTCTCGTGAATTTTCCCCGTTTGTGCTTAGTGCTATGCATTTCAGGAATATGGATTAGGAATCACATTAAAATTAAGGTTCAAGTAGGTTAAAGAGCATTTAACATTAAAATATTTTCATAAGATATAAAAAGGAAAACTAATTTGCCACTATGACTATTACCTCTAAAGCCTTTCGAATTCCGGAGCAAATGGAAGTTCCTCCACCAGCTACCTGAGGTAACATTTTCAAGAGTGTCTCTCTATCATTTTGACTGGTTATTTGAATTGGACGGCTTTTGACAGAAGCATTTTTATCAAAAATAATTATTCCCACTCGGGATTCATTTTCAACAGTCTGTAGCAGGAAATGTTTTGCTGCTTGGTTCATTCGAGTCAGACGATTATAATCCTGAATTATAAAGAAGATAATCATCAAATGACTTTTAACTAGAAAACAATGACATATTACATAAAATGAGTAAACTGCATTTGTTGTTTAGAATTTTCTCTCATGAGTAATTGATGTCATAGTATCCTTACAGAAAGTTAAAATAGCTGGAGCGATAGAACAGCAGTAGGGCATTTGCCTTGAACGCAGCCAACATGACAGACCCGAGTTCGATTCCTCTGCTCCTCTCAGAGAGCCCGGCAAGCTACTGAGAATATTTCGCCTGCACGGCAGAGCCAGGCAAGCTACCCATGACATATTCGATATGCCAAACACAGTAACAACAAAGTCTCCAATGGAGACGTTACTGGGCCCGTTCGAGCAAAATCGATAAACAACGGAGGACAGTGATGATGGTGACCATAGAATAGACATAATAAAATATTAACTAAAACTGATTCTTGGTTCTAAAACTAGAAATTGGGGATAGTCATAATGCCTAATTATCATTGGGATACTATGTTTCAGTTGTGTCAAGATGAAATCAATCACCAAGTTCCATGGTTTGAAACTAGAGCATAATGGAGTACGAAACACTAAAGAGTAACATTTGTCTGTCCATTGGGAAATAGGCTACCCCTAAAATGAAACATCCCAGTAGCAGATATTCTGAGAGATCCAGTTGCTATCTTTCCCATTTTCTCTTCTACTTCTAATGTTCCTCAATAAAGTTTCAGACAATAGATTTAATTGAAAAATTTGGGGAGTGAGGGTTGGTATCCCATTACGACTCACATCTATCTTCCCTAGATGATTGCCCTTGTTCTAAATCTTGTCACTGTTTTTTTACCTCGAGTCTGTGAAGTCCAACTAACTTTGGTACCTCTTCCCACCACATGCCCAAATTTCTTTCTGAACTCTCTAGAACCAAATCACAACAAGAAATTTCTTTTATATCATAGTTTTATATCATATACAACAAATTTGATGTTCAGTTTGGAGCTGCCTGCACTTTACGTAGGGAAGGATGCTTATGTTTATCTTCTCCCAATTAGAAACCTAATCTTTACTCAGTGGCACTACCCAGAACTCTTTTTTGTTAGTATCTAGTTCTTTTTGGAGTTCTATGGTGTTATGGGTTATTTCATTCAGCAGTATCATTCTCGGCCATTTCCAGTAACTCTCTTAAAGACATTATTCCTGCTCTTCAGAATGCTGTGCTATGTTATGTCTTAAATATGTTCTTCTTCTGCATGCCTTATGCCATTATTCATGCTCATTTGTAGTATACGTTGACTTCAAAAATTCTTTTTTGAGACCCTGTATATCATAAGTTCTGTTCTAAACAAAAGAGATACAAAGAAGAATATGATAATTTTTTAAGATTGATTCTAAGTCCTTAAGGATCCCCCAGTGTCCTTTTATTGGAGAAAAAATGAATGAGTTTAGTACAGTGTATTGTAATGGAGATACATATGTATTGCATAGGTAGTTTTGGGAGACCCGAAAAAGACCTTTTCTTATTCTGGTTTGGTAGGCAAAAAAGCTCATATCCTGGTTGAAATGGATGCCTGTATTAAAGTCTGAAAGATGTGTGGGAGTTAATCAGGTGAGCTTCAAAGGAGAGAAATTTTTCTCTAGCTGAATTCTTCTGGACTAGCACTGCACTGTAGCACTGTCCTCCCATTGTTGATTGATTTGCTCCAGCGGGCCCAGTAACATCTCCATTGTGAGACTTGTAATGTGTTAATTTGGCATATTGCATATGTCACGGGTAGCTTGCCAGACTTTGCCATGTGGGCGAGATACTCTTGTTAATATCTTTGAGAGAGGAGGAGGAATCGAAACCGGGTCATCCACATGCAAGGCAAATGTCCTGTGCTATCGCTCTAGCCCCTTCTGGAGTAAGGGTTTCTATTTCTAGAGTCTAGTACAATGTGTACATTGTACTGAATGTGGGTGGAAGGAATAAATGGCTGGATCTAGACATATCTTCCCTATAGTAATTTTGTTTGCTTCTGAACACAGCCAATGTGTTCAAAGGTTACTCCTGGCTCTTGCTTAGTCACACCCTGTGATTCCAGGAATCAAACCCAGACATTCTGTATGCAAAGCAAGTGCTCAGCTCACTGAGCACTGAGCTATCTCTCCAGACCCACTATTACTACTTTTTGTCTCTTTCTTTGAGAACAAAGAATTCATCTGATAATTAATCCCAATAAAACAAAGTCCTATTAAAAATTCTATGATTGATCTTATCTCTTGACTTTGAAGGAAACTACAAATCCACTCTTTTCTTCTGTCTATCAAGTATTTTCAGTAGATAAAGGGAGCAAGATCAGGATATATTTCCATATTTCAATATGTAGTTCTGAGCCAACAAAATATTACAAAAGGGATTCAAGTTTCTCTCAATCAACTCCATTTTCTAGAAACAACAGACTCACACGGGTTATGTCTTTTCAACTCTACCACCAACGTCTTTCTTCATTACAGTATTCATTGATTCTCTTGAGATCATGATTACAGAAATTGATTGCTGGTATGAAGGTTTGGTTAAAGCAGATGCAGGTTAAATGCTGATCATTTAGGCTTTGATACCTCTGTCTCTACATAGCAAAAGTGAGCCCACACACTTACCCCCATGCTTCCAGACTTATCAAGAACTAAGCACACAATTCTTTCACCGACCCTCAGCAATGAGAACACAGGTAGAGGGGGTGGTGCCACCATAGGCATTGTGTTATTAATATCCTCAGAAGAGCTGATCACTTCCCATGTGCTTCTGCGATTACATTTTTTATTTTGTAGGTTTGGAGCTTCTTTGTTATGGTCCTTTTCATTACAGAATTCAATGACCTAAAAGTTCAACAACATGAAAAAATTACATACAATGGAGTAGAATACAACTAATATGAATTTTATTATTTACACTATCATTTTATTTTTCACAAGTATAAAATCCTTTAAAACACCCTTTGTAAATATGTTGTCTTATGAACTATAAAGTTACAATATCAAGACAAATTTTTAGTAAAATCCAGAAATATTAGTTGAGTGCTTATTATGTGTTAGAAAAACTCTATATTAATCCATGTAGTCTTTGAGGTTACCCTCATGGATATTTTATAAACAAAATAACATACAATTTGATTTATAAATATGCAACTTGAAGTGACATTTGGTATACTCACAGAATTTATAGCTTGCATAAACATGATTGATGTTTTTGCAGTTTGCTCTTCATTAGGGAAGAATTGACAATCTTTTTCATATAGTCCTGTGGCAGAATTAATTTTGCATGGTCTAGTTACAATGCTGCCTCCTGAATTCTTATAAACTCTATTTATACCAGTGATACCTTTGGCGCACCTGGAAAATATTGACATTAAATCAATCCAATTAACCATTGGCACTTAAAAAACTCTTGTGTTTATACTTACATTGATTCTTATATTAAAGTTTTGGTTATATAACATTTTTGTTGTTGTTGAGTAAGACTGTAGTGCTTACTTCATGCTTATGATTTACAAAGTTATTGCCCCTCCACTCCCACCATTGTGCCTAGATTCTACACCAGATTTAATTCAGATTTGTTGTTTTACACACCCAAGGACAGTAGATACAAGGGCCAGGAAGACTGATCCATAGGTGGAAATCTGCCTCATGAGCTTGGGAAGAAAGCAGCTGGAATAGAGAAGGGATCACTAAGAAAATAATGGCTGGAGGAATTGGTCGGGATGGAAGATGTGTATTAAAGTAGTTAATGGACCAAAAATGATAAACTTTCATTATCTGTATTGCAATCCATAATGTCCCAAAGCAGAGAGAGAGTATGGGGAATACTGTGTGCCATGGAAGCAGTGAGAGGGTGGGAAAGGGGGAGTATGCTGGGGATATTGGATGTGAGGAAATTGCACTGATGGAGGGATGTGTGTTTGATCATCGTGTGGTTGTAACCCCACATGAAAGCTTGTAATTATCTTACAGTGATTCAATAAAATTTAAAAAAGAATTCAGATTTGTATATCAACTCATTCTGTTTGACAGTAAAGTTTAAGTGTCTCTATCTTCAGGAAACTGAGGCTGCAATTTTAATTAATTCATTTATTTGCGGGCACATTAGGGTCCCACTCAAGTAGTGCACCAGGGCCCCCGTTGTCTCTGTGCTCAGGGATTAACCCTGTTTCTGCTTAAGGAAAACATGTGGTTCTGGCAAACAAACCAGTTATTCGTGTACTCTCCCTCAGATTCCACCAAAGGAAATCTTTAAATGGTGCACCCAGTATATGCAAAATTTTAGTTTGCTTGTTGGCATGAAAGCTGCTGCTGACCAAGAAGACCTGGCATGTGCCCTTAGAATAATGGCTGCAGGTTCCTTTTTGTAACATATTTCTAGTATCTTTGTGGTGGTAAATGCATAGCAGGTATCTAAGCTAACTTATGACATTTATAAATAACATTTATAAATAAAATTTATTCTTGGAATAATTATAGCTTCAAGTTCTTTGTAGATTTCAAAGAGAATATTTCCAAAAGAATGGAAATTCTTTGGTGAGGCATTTTGATAAAGGTATTAATGCATGAAATTGACCAGTGGTTACAATAAATAAGCTGGGATTGTAAATATATCCCATATTTCCAATGTTGTTCCATTTCAAACAATCAATTCAAGAAGCAATTCCTTAAGCAGAGAGATAGTACAGTGGTGAGGGCACATGCTAGGGTTTTTTTAAAAATTTTTATTAGTGAAACACCATTGAGGTACAGTTGTAGGCTTACAAATTTTTGTGCTTGGGTTTCAATTATACAATGATCAAGTACCCATCCCTCCACCACCATGGGTCCCAGTATCCCTCCCACACCTATTCCCCCCATCCCACCCTGCCTTTGTGGCAGGGCATTCCCTTTTATTATTTCTCTCCTATTGGGTGTTGTGATATGCAAAAGAGATAAAGGTAAAGGCCCTCCCGTTGATCGTCGATTTGCTCGAGCGGGCCCAGTAACGTCTCCATTGGAGACTTTGTTGTTACTGTGTCTGGCATATCGAATACTCTTGGTAGCTTGCCGGGCTCTCCAAGAGGGGCGGAGGAATCGAACTCGGGTCGGCCATGTTGGCCGCTTAGTGGCAATCATGTTTGGTCTATAGTACACTTTCAGCATGTTTCTCCTATCCTGGGAGGATCCTCCCAACACCCTTTATTTGGTGCTCCCTTCTCTATCTGAGCTTCCCTTTCCCCCAGCACATGTGGCTGGCCTCCAAGTCATGGAGCAAAATTCCTGGTACTAATCTCAGCCACTCTTGGGTGTTAGTCTTTCATTTTGTTACTTTATGTTCCCCAGAGGAATGCAATCTTTCTATGTCTATCCCTCTCTTTCTGACTCATTTCGTTTAACATGATACTTTCCATGTAGTACCACTTGTATGTAAAGTTCATGACTTCATCTTTTCTAACAGCTACATAGTACTCCATTGTTTAAATGTACCAAAGTTTCTTTAACCAATGCTAGGTCTTTGTGGATTCTATTCTTGGTGCCACATGGTCCCTCAGCCACCTCAGGCAAAGAACGTTGCATATAACCAAAGGGTTAGTGGTCTGAGAATCACAGATGTGTCCATTAGGCCTTCTGAGTACTGCTAGGTGGTCTGTGTACCACTTGTAAGGTCCTCTGCTCTTCTCCCCCGGAAGAAAGAAATAATTTGATTTTATTTAGTCATTTAGGAAGTAGTTTCCTCAAGTCATATGTATTTCCATTGCCTCCACTGAGGCATAATGATATTATATATATTTAGTAGTAAACATAAATTTTCTTTAGCAGTCAATATACATTTTAAGAAAATATGTTATAAATACATAAAAATATTCTAATGTGTCCTAAAACAAGTGCTTTCAGGTCAATGAAGTCTTCATTATAGTCCTCTCTTCATCCAATTTTTGCCCAAAGTCCCAAACCCTAGCAGTATTTTTGATATTGTTTAAATTGATGGCATCTGTATTTGGATTTGTTTCCCTAATTTGCCTCTCTTGCTCTAGAACCAGGAGGACTATGCTTTATTAAGTGTGATGTTAGAAAAGTATTTTAATTTTTAATTTCTTTATATTTCATATGATTTTTAAAAAATTACTGGTATCTGACAGTACTAAAGTATGAAACATGAAATGTTTATTGTTTAAAATGTTTAATAGGGACACTGGCATCTTAAGTGGGGTTATTTTATAATAATTTGTAATATTTATCTGTTTCTCTTGTTGTTGGGACCTGGGTGTCCCACTCGTTGCCCAGGAGCCCCTGGGTTCCTAGGCCAGGCCTAGGACCTGAGGCTGCAGTGCTGCTTGGGCCCTGTGGTGCAAGGGGTACCTGGGCCAACAGGCTGGTGCTGGGAGCCTCCAAGGCTGTATCTAGAGATGCTTAGGCAATATATGTGGCTGGAAATTGAACTTAGGTTTATCACACCACTGTACTCTCTTACTGTTTAAATCTGCAATATGTAGATAAGTTCTTAAAAAATGAACTTGATAAATGCAAAGAAATTTCCATTTGGCTTTTAAAGCTGTTTACTCAGCGCATAGTCACCAACACTTGCTAGTCCTTGCTATTCATTCTTTTGTAATTCAAGTTTGGTCTCCTGGAATACAGTACAATATTTCCCACAGAGCAGTATCAACACAAATGAGTTCTTCCAGCTATAGTGTCAAGCTATAAACATATGTCATCCAGCCTACCAAATGTTCTTGGATTTATGTGTAATTTAAATGGACCACCAGCAATTTTAAAATACATTTTTTAAAGTAAAATCAAACCAGTTTTAGTGTACATCCTATCTTATCTACTATCAAATGAAAATAAGTAGCATTTAAAAGAAATTTAAAAAAGAAGTCACAGCCTAAAGTAATTTAAGAAAATGGAAATGGTCATACCTTGTTGCTTCAATTTTCTTGTTGGAAGCAGCATAGAAAGGCTCATCCTCATTATACTCATCAAACACTCCCCAGCGGAGGTGAGTCCATTCATGGACAAGCAGTCGACCTGTGAGAAAATATTTCAAATATAAGATCAGAATTCAAGTGGCAAAAGTTTTATTTTCAAGAAAATATTAATGTCATGGTTTTAAATAATCCAAATAGTTTTTTTAAGTTAAAATATTATATTATGTTATATGTAAAGGTTTATTAAGTATATTATATTTTATTTAAAATGTTAGTCAATGAAATATTTGTTTCATATATGCTAAGGGTATAGAAAGTGGGCTTGGGGTTTGGTTCTTGGAGAGAAAACCATCTTATATATTAAAAGAATTTTTGGTTCTACAAAGCTCTCTCCAACCAACAAAATAGGCAGATATGTGGTATACCAATAACACTAAAATTTCTGACAGGAGGGATAGCACGGCGGGTAGGGCGTTTGCCTTGCATGCGGCTGACACTGCCGACCCGAGTTTGATTCCTCCGCCCCTCTCGAAGAGTCCAGCAGGCTATCAGAGTATCTTGCCTGCGCAGCAAAGCCTGTCAAGCTACCCGTGATGTATTCGATATGCCAAACACAGTAACACGTCTCACAATGTTACTGGGCCCGCTCGAGCAAATGGATGAACAACCGGAGGATAGTGACAGTGATAAATTAAATGTTACAAACTGTCTCTATATGTTTCTTAATGGTTTATAATAAAAAGATGGAAAAACATAGTCACAGACTATATAATAATTTTATAAATGTCTAAGTGAAGTAATTAATTTATTATTCTTAAATACACTCTTATAACATAAAAATTATTAAATGTGTATGTTCAGCACTATCTTTAAAATTAAAAGGTGAACAATATATAGTTTCTGACAAGGAGAAGTTTAGATAGAGGAAGTCAAAATAAAAATCTTTTCATAAGGATTATTGTAGGGTAAATGAAAGAATTAAGGTAAATCCATAGCTTAAAGATAGAAGAAAAAGGTGGAATTTTGATTAATAGTAGAAAAAAGTAACTAGCAATGGAAAAATAGTTAGAATTGATATCTGTTTGATTGCAGTGTATTACTCTAATTGCTGAGCTCTAAAAATAAGAGGGGGGAGGTGAATAATGTCATACAAAAATCATATGTTAAACTTTTTAGCTTTTGATACACAAAAAGTGGTGGACTACTAGGTTTAGCAACATTATCACCTGGGAGTGATACAGGAATTGCCAAAAAAAAAAAAAAAAGGAACACGGAGCAAGAATTCTCATACTAACAAGTTGCTTAGCAACTCTTTATGTTAAACTTCAAAATCACTTCTTTAAGGTTTCATACTTGAATTGTGGCTAGTGTAGTAAACTAGAATTATATATGGGAAGGAGGAGGGGAAACCCGATATCAGCTACTAAAATAGGAATTTGATAAATTTTAAAACAATTGAAAATTGTCTACTCCATGACTTCCCTATTACAGTCCCCTCTCAAATTTGCTTTGTTCTCATTTTATGGCTGCCCCAGCCTCCTTCCCACCTGTATTTGCAGGATGTGTATGATAGAACCTAAAGGGTATACATTAAGGTGGATGTAGCAGGATATTAATTATTAAAGTATTTGAGGGCAGTAATCATTTCAATATATATGCACACCAAATCACCATGTTGTACAACTTAAATATTTAGAATTTTTATTTAAAAAATGCTAGCTCTCTTAGAATTCCATTCCAGTGTACATCATGTTCTCACTTTCCATTTGTCCTGATATCATTTGAAAAAGGATTTTACGCTGTATTTTATTCTAATATGTACTTTGGTGGCAGCTATAGTCACACTGAAATGCTGCCTGGGTGGTCCAATTTACTTTTGGGTATGTAATGTTATCATTTTTAGCATGAGTTAGAAAAACTCTGAAGACTTTATTAATATCATTTTCCCAAAAGCCATTTTGTTTTTAGAGCCCTGTTTTTCTGGATCTGACTTTTTTTTCACACATTTATGAGTCACATTATGGCAGTTGCAGGCATAGCTGGAGCAGCTATAGAACGCTGTCAGTTAGGAAATAGGTCTGAAGTTGGCACAGAAGTTCAATTCCTAACTCCCATAGAAGCCGGGAGTTGAAAGTGTACATAAATTTGAAAGTAGAGATATTTTATCAGTCAAGGTATGTTTTAATGAATGGGAATTAAAAGAATAAGTACAGAGCATTTAACACCTGAAATGCAAATTGATAAAGAGAGTTGAAAAGAAATAAGTAAAAGTGTCATTGAGAAGTGTTGAGGCTTCCATGAGCTTTGAAATGTATGTTTCATATTAGTTTGTTGTCATGGCTTTGTGATTTTTTTTTAAATTTTGGAAGCATATTAAGTGAGTCAAAGAAAACTGGCTATTTATTAGTTTATTACTAAGGATTGACAAATTGAATCAAACAAAGATAACAGTAGTGAGGAAGTTGGGATTTTTATACATAGAATAGAAATGACTGACTTTACCTGACATGCCAAGTAGGAAAGATGTACAGCTCTAAAGGTATAAAGGGACACAGGTGACAGGAGAGCAAACAAGGTGGTGCTTAAGGTATAGGGGGATAAGAAGCTTGGAATGTGAGAAAGGAGTTTTTAAGACTGGGTGGGGTACAGTTCCCAGTAATGTTTAGGACCAGGGCTAGCTGAACGTTCAACAGAGACAAGATTTAATCAAAGCTCAGTGAAAGGCAGTGGAAGAGGGAGATGTGCAACTGGGGTATGTGGACCCAGGAAAGCTTCCTTAAGAAATAGTGACATCTGATTAATGCTTTCTTGAACAAAAACTTGCATTTTCATAAGAAAAATGATATGCTTTACTTCTTTTGAACTTGTGATCTTAACTTGTAACTTCAAGTAGAGAAAGTTGCCATTTTTATAGCTAAAAAGGATCATTTACTTGAAAAGTTCATCTGATTTAAAGAAATAAGTTGAATGATATTATCACCCACTAATCGTACCTGAATGTCTCATCCTGCCCAGAAATATGTACCTTGGTGGCTTTTAACTTTCCACATGCTGCCTTTCATGGAGGCAGCAGATGATTGATTACTGTTCAGTTGTGGAATACTGATTATTCAAGACCAAAAATGCCTTGCCCTATGCCCTATAATTTGATGCCCTATGTTCAAATTTTCATAAAAACTATACTGAATATAATTGCATGAGTTACCTGATATTCATAACAATTTTGAAATTCAGAATTCTTCCATTTTTGATTTTTTAGAAAATAAGCACAGAGACGCTAGACCATTTGTCCAAGGACATACAGTTGGTTTAACAGGAGTTAGGATCTAAACATTGTACAAAACTGATTTTTTACTCAATTTTATTAACTAGAACTCCTACCTGATGGTCCATATTCATTTTGCTTGTTTCCAAGTAGAAAATCAGGGGTCAAGTGAATGTATTCTCCTTCTTTTCCACACTGTGAAAAGTGTCTGGTGTAGGGTTCATCTCTACCTGGCAATGTAGGTGGTGCAACTATGACAGTAGCCTGAGAAAGTATAAAATAATTTTTTAAACATTAGAAATAGAAATGATAATGTTTAGTCTGAAACACTCTGAAATAATTACTTTTCTGTAAAACTGAGGAACAACAGAAAATTTTTTTTCAGAAAATTTAATTTCCAAGAGGAGTTTTATTGAGCCTTACATGTTTGTAGCTTTCAGATCTTGGTCTCATATATTCAGGTTTTTGTTCCCAGGTGCCTGGAATCAATATATTTACGTTTTTAAAATACGTTCTATTTCCTGTGGCTTTGAACAGGTAAGTAGAGGCTTCAGTCACCATGTCCTATTATTAAGAGGAAAATATAATGTGGTCAAAAAAATGAATTAAAGGAGCAGGGATTCATTACAGACATATTCCAATTTCGAAGAAGTTAGAAAAGCAGAATCTTAGCCTCAGAATTGCTATTTTGCTATACACAGTTTGCTATACAAAATTATTTCTTGATCTTGCACACTTAATAGTTTTCACTCTAGGTATGGAGAGATAGTACATGGCTTTCGGTGCTTGCCTTATACATAGTCAACCCTGGTTTAATCCCCACCACCACATAAGATATCCTGGTCCGTTCCAGCAACCCGTGAGTACTGTTGGTTTTAGCCCTACCTTCATTCCCCCTGCCTCCTAGAGCTTTCAATGTCTCATAAACCTTCATCAAATGCTTCCATTTCATGTTCAGAGACATTTTATGATATGGTAAAGACATAGAATTTAGAATCAGCTCCTTGGTTCTCATACTGGAAACAGTAGTTCTTGGGTGATAGTTCTTGCCAATTTATGTCATGCTGAAGCTCAATTTTCTCATATTTTAAGATTACTTTATAGTTCCAAGGATTGAACCCAATGTATCACAAGGTAAGTTCTCTATCACTCAGCTATATTTCAACCCTTATTATTTACATTTAAGGATAATATTAGGATAGAATTACGTACCTCCATTTTTAGCCTCTGAATGTAAAACTGAGGTTATCCAGAGGGTGAGATAGTGGGGAAGGGATGGTCAAGTTTAGGGGCGACTTGGAGACATTGGTGGAAGGTATTGAGCAACTTGGTGATGGTAGAAATTTAGTACCTTTTTCATCTAAACCTCTCAATTCTAATTCTATTGCAATGCAATAAAATAAATACATAAATGTGGAACAAATTATAAATTACTCTAAATAGTTTCAATAATAAAACTGGTTGATATCATTACTCTTTCTTTTTGGGGAACTAAAAAAAACTTTAAAGGAAACAGACTTAGCTAATGTAAATATAAATAGTCATATAATAGTTATAAGAGAGATTATGCTCACTATAATTTCACCCTCTCGGAGAGCCTTGCTACAATGCAGTTGCATGGGAAATGCATTATACAATTCTGACACTTTATCTTTACTTTGTAATTTTTATAGCTCTGTGCAACTTGACAATGGAAGAATTTCACAATTCTCTGTCAAAAAACTACTGTGACCCCTTGAGGTGCAATATGGTGGCCAATAATGGTTCCCAGAAACATTTTTAGGTTAAATTTCTAGAGTTTCTTTTCTCTCGTATTCATCTCTTCTTTATTTCTCCCCTCTTTCCTTTGTGTATTTAGTTGATTTTATTAACAACTTTGCTTTTATACATTTCCAAGCATAAAACAACTACATTTCCTCGTTTTTGAATTTCAAGATAGTAAAGTGGAATTTTATTTTATTTTATTTTATTTTATTTTATATTTAGGGTTTTCAGGTCACACTCATCTGTGCTCAGGGGTTACTCTTGACTCTGCACTCAGGAATTACTACTGGTGGTGCTTGGGGACGAGATGGGATACCAGGGATCAAATTCAAGTTGGCTACAAGCAAGGCAAGTGATCGACCCACTGCATTATATATTCAGTTTCTTAAAATGGAATTTAAAAAATCAAATTAGGTAATCCAAAATGCAACAATTAAAAATTTGAAATTTGATTCACAACGTCTAGTGCTGTTTAGTGGGACATATAAAAATTTATAGCAGCTAATCAGGATATATTTGATCAAATTTAGCAACAAACTATATATATACATACATATATATATACATATATATATCCCCACCTCCTAAATCTATCTCACTTATCAAACCACAAGTTTGAAAGGTTTTGTTAAGCACTCACTAGATATACAATTTAAATTTCACCAGCATTTGCAGTCTTAATAAAAAAAATGTGGACTGTTTTCCCAGTCTACATTTGGAAAGCAATAATCTCTATTTATCAAACACCTTGCATATCAAACTTTTGTCAATATTCACACAGAGCAGCTAACTGTTCATAGATTAAAACACAAGTAATCATGAAAGAGCTACCCTATCCCCCCAATTAGCCAACCCTTAATGGAATCCTAAGTATCAACCTATATGTGTAGTATAGATGTGCCTATGCATGTATGTGTACAAACACCTATTCACACACTCATAGAACTGGGTAAACATGTTACTGGGTATAAATCATAGCACTGTAGCACTGTAGCACTGTGCTCCCATTGTTCATCAATTTCCTCAAGCTGGAACCAGTAATGTCTCACAACAAATTTTGAGACTTGTTAGTTTTTTTTTTTTTTTTGCATATCAAATAAGTTGGAGCGATAGCACAGCGGTAGGGCGTTTGCCTTGCACGCAGCCAACATGACCAATCCAAGTTTGATTCCTCCGCCCCTCTTGGAGAGCCCGGCAAGCTACCGAGAGTATCTCGCCTGCACGGCAGAGCCTGGCAAGCTCCCCGTGACGTATTCGATATGCCAAACGCAGTAACAACAAAGTCTCCAATGGAGACATTACTGGGCCCACTCGAGCAAATCGATGATCAACGGGAGGGCCTTTACTTTACTTTTACTTTATCAAATAAGTTACCAGTAGCTTGCCAGGCTTTTCTGGGCAAATGAGATACTCTTGGCAGTTTGCTGGGCTCTCCGATAGGGGTGGAGGAATCAAACCCGGGTCGGCTGCATGCAAGGCAAACACTCTACCGACTGTGCTATCACTCTAGCCCAGGGTATAAATCGTACTGGGTATAAATAAAAGTTCCTGATACCATTCATTTCCAGTTGAGTTTATGACTCCTGTACCTTGGGATAGATTTTATATGTCAAAACTGAAAAGTAGTGCTAAAATATCACTTTCTTCAAGATATAAGTCAAATCACTTGTTCCTCAGTATAAAAGCTCAAACTCTTCAGTATAGAAATGATTATAAGATAAGCCAAATAAATAAATTTTGGCAATGTGATACTGCTAACACCTGGAAAACTTCAGTGTCTTCTGGTGGTTCTTATTTTCCTTACTGTACGTGTTCAGGTTTTATTCTGTGTTGAATCCACACAATTTAGTGCTCTATTACTTAGCCAAGTCTGCCCTGCAGCAAAGTTTATTTTCTTCCTATTAAGTTTCCTCTCAAAACTCCTATAAATGTGTACTGGGCTAATATCCTTTCCCATTCTGTAAGCTGTCTTTGTATTTTGGTCACTGTTTCTTTTGAGGGGCAGAAGCTTCTTAGTTTAAGATAGTCCAATTTTGTCTATCTCTGTTTTCACTTGCTCAGCCAGTGGCATGACATCTTTGAAGATACTATTAGCTTCAATGTCATGGAAGGTTTTGCCAACTTTGTCTTCAATGTACTTTATGGATTCTGATGTTGAGTTCTTTAGTCCATTTTGATCTTACTTTTATGCATACTGTTAGGCAGAGATCTGAGCCCATTTTTTTTGCATGTAGCTGTCCAGTTTTGCCAACACAATTTGTTAATGAGGTTTTTCTTGCTCCAATTCACATTTCTTGCTCCCTTATCAAAGATTAGATGATCATATGCTTGGGGGGAGATGTCAGTCTATTCAACACTGTTCCATTGGTCTGCAGCTCTGCCTTTGTTCTGGTACCATGCTGTTTTGATTATTACTGCTTTGCAGTAGAGTTTGAAGTTAGGAGGCTGGTTCCTCCCATTTTCTTTCTCAAGAATTGCTTTAGCTATTCGTGGGGGCTTATTGTTCCATATTAATTTCAGGAGTGTTTGCTACATTTCTTTGAAGAATGTCTTGGGTATTAGTATAGGGATCGTATTGAATTTGTACTATGATCTATTGCCATTTTGACAATTTTAATTCTCTCAATCCATGAGCAGGGGATATCTTTCCCTTTTGGTGTGTCCTCTTTTATTTCCTGAAATAGCATTTTACAGTTTTCTTTGTACCGGTCCTTTACTTCCTTAGTTAAACTAATTCCTAGGTAGTTGATTTTCAGGGACACAATTGTGAATGGTATTGTTTTTTTTCATGTCACTTTCTTCTCTTTCGTTATTTGCGTATAGGAAAGCCATGGACTTCTAAGCGAAATTAAGTCAGAAAGAGAGGGACAGACATAGAAAGACTGAATTCATCTGGAGAAAATAAAGTAACAAAATAGGAAACTAACACCCAACAATAGCCAAGATAATTACCAGGAGATTTACTCCATAGCTTGGAAGCCAGCCACACATGCTAGGGGAAAAGGCAGCTCAGATAGAGAAGGGAGCACCAAATAAAGGGTGTTGTGAGGATCCTCCCAGGATGGGAGAGGCATACTGAAAGTCGACTATAGACCAAACATGATTGCCACTCAATGCCTCTTTTGCAAACCACAGCACCCAAAATGAGAGAGAGAACAAAAGGGAATGGCCTGCCACAGAGGTAGGGTGGGATGGGAGGTGGGGTGAGATGTGGGAGGGATACTGGGACCCGTGATGGTGGAAAATGGTCACTGGTGAAAGGATGGGTACTCGGTCATTGTATAATTATAACTCAAACACAAAAATTTGTAAGTCTACAACTGTACCTCATGGTATCTCACTAATAAAAATTAAAATAAATTAAAAACATTTCTATAACATCTGAACTGGGTCAAGAAGATGAAGACATTGACATTTCTGAAAACAACCACCCTCAAACCCAAAGACAGAAGAATAAAAGGAATGAGGAAAATGAACATTTGACATCTCAAGATATAATTAAGAATCAATCTAGTATAAAATTATGATTTAGCAATACTACTAGTTGAGGATAATTCAATTAATGATAATTCCATCTTCTTCCAGCAATCAAGCCAAAATCCTTAAAGTCTTAACTCCTATCATTTTCATATTCACCCTTAGCACATATAAGTCAAAATCATCTCAAAAATTGTCCACATTATCCTCAGAATATGTTCAAATCACATCACTTGAGTTCTCTCTCCTACAACATAGTGACCCTTACTCACTATCACTTCTCAATTGTAACTTCTCAATTGTAACAACCTCCTACCTAGTGTCCTGCTCTATATCTATGGTCACAGGATGTGTGACAAGTGGAAGTACCCTCATCCTCAGAGTTTTCTCCATGTTACAGCCAACGGCTGCTGAATATGCAGGAGAGAGCACACCCTTCCTCTGGTCATACCCGCTCCTTTCATGGATTCCCATTACATTCAAAGTCATTCTAGTGATCTGGGAGTTTCAAACTCAATCTCTCTGTTCTCCCCACCCTTTCAACTTCTCATTCCCAGCTGTTTCCCAGGTCATATCAAACCACCTCTTACCTCCATGCCTCTGCATATGCTGTTCCCTCTCCCTGGTTTTCATTAGATTCTTTCACATTTCTGAGCTATCAGCCTCAGATATTATCTCCAAAGTGAAGCTTTCCCTTGCTACCAAATATGAAATGTAACCACATTCTCTTCCTTCCCCAGTACTGCCAACATTTTCCATTCCCTTTGGCTGATTTAATTTTTTTCATAGATGCTTGCTATCATCTGCCCTACTTTTTGTTATTATTATTATCTATATTATTATTATCTATTACTATCTATTATTATCTATATTATTATTATCTATTATCTATCTTTTTATTGTTATCTATAACCTGTAAATAGCATGCATTGCCCAAGAGCTGTCACTTAAAAAATCCCCTAATATTCCCCTGACAATCCAGAATAATTAATTCCATAAGTATTTGATTAGATGCAGAGCAATTCTAACTGCTGAGGTTACAGATGAGAAACCGAGGCTCAGCTAAAGGCATATCTCATGTTTGTCTGGTCTTTAGTGAAAGAAATCAGAACGATTTCTTGTTCCTATAATTGTCATGGCCCACTGCAGTATCATTTTCACTACATCATGCTGTTTTTAAGTTTCTTGGAGTGTTAAAAAAGTCTTTCTAATAATAATCACTGACATGTTTTCTTTTTTTCAATTCAAGCAGAATTCTTACCTGTATTTCTTTAATTAGTGCTTCATTTTCTGGCACATCAGGATTTATAGCAATGATAATACCTTCATAGCCATTGTCTTTCAGTTCAATCAGGGATGAATTGCAGCCCCCTAGTAGGTATAGGACAGAAAGGAAGACAAAATTTCTGAGTGTTCCCATCCTTGCTGTCTCCTCCATCCTGTCTTGAGAGAGAACGACCTCTTTCCCCTCATTTCCCTCATTTATATATACTGTTAGAAAAATACCATGTGATAATGGGTGTATATCATACAAAGTACAACATGACAGATATGAGGAAATATTGTACTTTAGACACCTATTTTATTGTATGTCTGAGAATTACTGTATGACGTTATCGGAAGCAGGAAATCAGATCTTTTAAAATAAGATTATTACGTGTTTCTTTCTTTTTTTTTTTTTTTTTTTTGCCTTTTGGCTCACACCCAGCGATGCACAGGGGTTACTCCTGGCTCTGCACTCAGGAATCACCCCTGGCGGTGCTCAGGGGACCGTATGGGATTCTGGGAATCAAACTCGGGTTGGCCGCATGCAAGGCAAATGTGCTATTGCTCCAGCCCCTGTTACATGTTTCTTCTGCTGGAGCAATAGCATATTGTGTAGGACTTTTGCCTTGCACACGGCCGACCTGGTTCGTTACTCTGCCCCTCTCGGAGATCCCAGCAAGCTACTGAGAGTATTCCACCCGCACGGCAAGGCCTGGCAAGTTACCCGTGATGTATTCGATATGCCAAAAACAGTAATATGTCTCACAATGGAGACATTACTGGTGCCCGCTCGAGAAAATCAGTGAACAATGGGAGGACAGTTCTACATGCTGTCTCTGGTCCCTGGTTTTATTAATTTTTATCTCACACTGTGATAAGAACTCTAAGCTACGTTATAATTTTTTTAAATGTTTCTTTGCAAACATGAGTACTGTATGTTATTTCTATATAAAATGGTTATATAAATCATTATTCCATTTTAAAACAATTTTTGAAAGTTTTCCTTGTAGATCATAACTCAAGTAGAAAGAAAATTTTGATTAATAACTGGTTTCATTAGGTAATGGCCCTTCTATACTGTGCATGGGTTTTCTCCTGAAAGAACCTGTATTCACTTGTAGTTATTTAAGTTCTTTCCCTTACTTTCCTTATGTCATCAACCTTCTCTTTACATTTTAATGAACAGCAGTTTGACAAAAAGCAGTTTGACAAAAACCATAACAAAAACAGATTTTAAATTTACATGCTAAATTTATTATTAGATGTAAAGTTCTTTACGTTACAGGGGGATGGATATATCAAAGTGAAGAGAAATGGAATATAAATTTTACGTAATATTTTCTTGTTAGCATTCCATCTCAGATTTCTTATCTTTTCTGGGAATTTACCATAACAACACTAAATTTTTCAGAGATATAGTCAGTCTGCCATGTTGGCAGAGGTGTCTCTTGACATTGGACTTTTAGTCATAAGTGAATCACATGCTAACAGTAATAGCTAGTTTGCTTCCTGATGATAAAAAGATTTGCATTATGATGATAATACAGGGAAACAGAGGATGATTTTCCTCTGGGTTTTCTGGAAGGAATAATATCTATATTCTTTTTTTTAAGAAAGGCAGGTGGACAAAATGCTTTCTTGCACACAGCCAATCTAGGCTATATTGGGCATTACATGTGGTCACCTCATCCCCTACTGGAGTTACCTCTGAGCACAGAGCCAAGAGTAATCCCTGAGCATTACTGGGTATGGACCCAAAACTAAAGCAAAAAGAATTTAAAAAGGAAAAGGGCCAGACACTACAGCCATTAGTGTTCACTCTTAGTGGACAGTCAACTGAGTTCAACTGCTGACACTGCATGGTGCTTGATCATAGTAGGACAAGGCTTTGGAGGCTACCAACACTGCTGATAGTGCTTTATTAATTCCTGCCATCAATACACCTGAGCAATGTCAACCCTCTGGCCCTTGCATTAAACATTCAACCTGTGTCCTGTAGACGTACAATTTATTAAGGCACTTGCCTTGACTTAAGTACAACTGCTATAACTGTATCACTGTCATCCTGCTGTTCATCGATTTTCTTGAGTGGGCACCAGTAATGTCTCCATCCCTCACCTCCCTGACAATTTACTAGCCTCTTTTTTTAAATTTTTATTAGTGAAATATCATGAGGTACAGTTGTGGACTTACAAATTTTTGTGATTAGGTTTCAGTTATACAATTATGCAGTACCCATCCCTCCACTAGTGCCCATTCTCCATCATTTACATATTTTAAAAAAAATTTGTTAGTGAAACAGCATGAGGTACAGTTGTAGATTTACAAATTTTTGCGCTTGGGTTTCAATTGTACAATGATCAAACACCCATCCCTCCACCAGTGCCCATTTTCCACCACCACGGATCCCAGTATCCCTCCCACCCCCCATCCCCCCGTCACATCCTGCCTCTGTGACAGGGTATTCCCTTTTGTTCTCTTTCTCCTCTTGGGTGTTGTGGTTTGCAAAAGAGGCATTGAGTGGCAATCATGTTTGGTCTATAGTCTACTTTCAGCATGCTTCTCCCATCCTGGGAGGATCATCCCAGCACCCTTTATTTGGTGCTCCTTTCTCTATCTGAGCTCCCTTTTCCCCTAGAGTGTGTGGCTGGCCTCCAAGCCATGGAGCAAAACTCCTGGTACTAATCTCGGCCACTCTTGGGTGTCAGTCTCCTATTTTGTTACTTCATATTCCTCAGATGAATGCAATATTTCTATGTCTATCCCTCTCTTTCTGACTCATTTCGCTTAGCATGGTACTTTCCATGTAGTACCACTTGAATGAAAATTTCATGACTTCATCTTTTTTAACAGCTACATAGTACTCCATGGGCTGGAGCAATAGCACAGCGGGTAGGGCGTTCGCCTTACACGCGGCCAACATGGCCGACCCGAGTTCGATTCCTCCGCCCCTCTCGGAGAGCCTGGCAAGCTACCGAGAGTATTCGATATGCCAGACACAGTAACAACAAAGTCTCCCATGGAGACGTTACTGGGCCCGCTCGAGCAAATCGACGATCAACGGGAGGGCCTTTACCTTTTTATAGTACTCCATTGTGTAGATGTACCAAAGTTTCTTTAACCAGTCATCTGTTCTCGGGCACTCAAGCTTTCTCCAAATTCTGGCTATTGTAAAGAGTGCTGCAATGAACAAACAAGTGCAGATGTCCCTTCGACTATACTTTTTTGCCTCTCTGGGATATATTCCCAGGAGCGGTATTGATGGGTAAAGTGGGAGCTCGATTTCTAATTTTTTGAGAATCATCCATACTGTTTTCCAGAAGGGCTGAATCAGTCGACATTCCCACCAGCAGTGAAGGAGGGTCCCTTTCTCACCACATCCACGCCAGCACTGATTGCTTTTGTTCTTTTGGATGTGGGCCAGTCTCTGTGGTGTAGCAGCCTCTTCTTACTCGTCTTTGTCTTACCTAGATTAAATCCCTAATACTGCAGATGGTCCCACGGGCACTACCAGGAATGATTCCTGATCATAGACTTTTAAGTGAGCCCTGAGCACAGTAACCCCAAAACAAAAATAGAAACGCCATCTTTCTCAGTAGAACTGGTTTGAAAATTGACCAAGAAGTGAGAAAGATCAATAAAATATGTCATTGATGAGGTTGAACTAATAAATATGCCTTGGTATAATGACAAATTTGGTTTTCCACTGTTTATTCTGATAGTGATCTTTTCTTAAATATGTTGTACCCTTGTGGAAAGTCAGAAAGAGTGGCTTCCAAATCTTCCTCTTTTTTCATTTATAAAACCACACTCTTGCTTGTATTTGCACATATCTGGCTATACCTTTCCAGTGTAGTTTAAAGTAACTCTTATATACTGCTCATTCAGGCTAACTGTTCTCAAGAGCCAGTTCTTGACACCCTTCTCATCTATGTCTGTGTTCCCATACATGATCTCATTTCCACACGTTGTTTCAGTTATCCTCTTGTGCTCAGATATAAACTCCATATCTAACTCAGACTTTTCAACAGCGCCCCAGGGTTCAAGAAAAAAAATGGAGTGTGATCCTCAAAGTATTGAAAAAGCAAAATTAAACCTAATATTTTAAGTCTCACTTAAATATTAGAATGGAGTAAAGTAAAAATCATGCCCAAAACTCTAGTTCTCAGATCACCTAAACATACACACCATAAACACTCTAGTTTAAAATAGTTTTTAAACCAGTAAACTAGTAAAAATAGTTTTTAAGCAGCAATTGCAATCTATTTATTCATATTTGAGACTATATAATACCAACAAGAAGGAAGTGGTATTGGAGTCTAGAGAGAAAATAGTCTGCTGATACATTTCTGCTGAAACTGAAGTTACTGACAACTGCTATCACTGTATCACTGCCATCCTGTTTGTCATCGATTTACTCGAGTGGGCGCCCGTAATGTCTCCATCCGTCACCTACCTGAAAAATTAGCAGCTTCTTCTTACTCGTCTTTCGCAACAATTGGAGGCTCTTTCAGGGTCAGGGGAATGAGGACTACTATAAGAAATATAAAAATAGTACATTTAGTAGACTTAGTAAATTGGGTTGAATGACCACCAACGGGGAGGTGTTTGGCACTATTGTGGCAACATGGGAAGATGCCATTGTTGACAACGTTGACGAGGAATACGATCGACTGGTTCAGCACCTCCATGAATGTGCGAGGAATGCCGAGAGAGATAGCCACAAAAAATGTCTGTCTACGAAAACTCTTGAGCTTATTCGCCAGTGTGATTTAGTGCCTGCCTCAGGCAACCGCAAGCGAACGTCCGAGCTAACAAAGCAGTGCAGAGATGCAATCAAGACCTCAAAGAGAGAAGAGCAGAAGTGCTGGTAGATGCGGCAGAAGCCGGGGAAAGTATTCGTAATGCCCGCCTGTCCTTCGCCAACTACAAGAGCAAGATGACTGCCCTCCGACGTCCTGATGGATCCATCACATCCTCCAGAATGGCAATGGAGATGATTATCCATGACTTCTACTCAAATCTCTTCAATAGCCGTGTCCACTTGCAGACATACCAAATTCCACAGGATGGATATGTCGTTCCCAATGTTCTCCCTTCCGAAATCTGACACGCCATTTCGTCGGTAAAGAAACGAACAGCACCCGGCCCAGA